TTGTTCATCTGTTCTCCAATGTATGAGCACCCCTCTCAGATTCCCATTCTTTGCTACCTCAAAAAGAGCTATTGATTCTAGACCCAGTTATTTCTCTGCAGGCTAGGCTAGATGCTGTAATAAGACCCTGCTCTGCACCTGGTTCTGAGCCACCACTGCCGGGGTAGACTTCTAAACTTCCTCCTTAGCTGGGACACAGTCCTAGGCCTCCTTACCTGGGAATGCCAGCCCAACGTACAGGTTTTCTTCTCAGTGCACCATGGATCTGTGACTTAGAACTGAGTAATGGGCAACCAATTTTCCAGTTTGCACCTGTGCTGGCTGCAGTGCCCTGTATGGGCTTGGACCTCCTCTTGCCCTGGTGCACAGACTCTCCTAGGATACAAGAATGCTCATACCTGGCAGGCATGCTCCTGCCCGGAGCCCATACCCAGTATCCATAGACCTCCATATCTGTCTCCTTGTGCTGAACTGGGCTGGAGAAATAACTCACTGTGACTTTTTCTGGATTTCTCCTCAGGACTTGGTCTGGTGCATTTTCTAGATCTGTTTGGAGGAATGTTGTGGAGGGCAGTTGTTTTCTACCATTCTGAGTCCTATCTTGGCTCCACTTCCTTCCTTAAAACATCTGATGGTTTAACAGGAGTTAGATGTAATCTGTTTTTAACAGTTAAATTTATTTTCAAAAATTTTTAAAAATAGTAACATTTACTCATTTCCGTCTCAGTCAGACCTATACTGTAATCCTGGTAGTTCAAACTATACAAGCAAGAAAGCTACCACCATCTGCTGGCAACTTCAAATATAGGTTCACTTCAGGTTTCAAACATTTATTCAACAGTTACATTGAATTTCATTTCCTGATGGACTGGCCTGGATTGTTGGCTCTGAGAGAAGCATGTGTAATAGAAGAGAAGTAAAGTGGGCAGAAGGGGAGAAAGGGATGCAAGAGGAAGGGAAAAGACGAAAGCTGGAAGCAGGGCTGTAACCATACTAAAGTATTTGAAGACATTACCCCATTTGGACACTGTCCCAAACACCAGCTGGAAACCCTCTATTACACCCCTCCCTAACCTCTCACTGCATTTCTATATGTCCCATAACTATTTCTGGGGCTTCATGAATATGAAATTCCTACAAACAGCCCTGGGAGAAAGACTGGCAACCATGTATGTATGTGTGTGTTTATGTATGTGTGTATATATATACATATATATATATGTGTGTGTGTGTGTGCACATATGTGTGTATTTACATGTATATGTATGTATATATATATATATAATATATATATATATATCTTAATGTTTGTCAAATTGAATTGAATTGTTTCCATCATCTGCCTTTTCCACTTCTACACCCGAGTTGCTGAGTGTTGCTGAAGGAAATCACAAAATTGTGGTCCATTATAAATCCATATTGTCTGATCTCAGTTGTGCTCTTCCTACTGCTCAGCAATCCTTTGTCTTCTCTGATTGGTTCAAATCCTTCCTTCTGAAGTTGTTCTAAATCCTCTTTCAAGATTCCCATACAACCTCTCTATATACTGTAGCCCTCGAAAGCACCTTCTCCCCGGTTCCACATTTTAAAACTCTTCTGGTATCTTCTGAAGTGACTCTTATCCTTTCCAATGCTAAGCTCTGCTTATCTCCTTTTTGTCTCCTCCTCTCCTGTCAATCATTTCTTCCCTCTTATCTTCATCATCTAAGGCTCTCCTGACTATTTGCCTGCTATCTACAAAAAGATCTGGTTGAACCTATTAAAAAAAAAGATTCACTACATACTGCCATCCCCTCAAGCTATCCTCTTACATGTCTACTTTTTTAAACTGCCAAATTCCTAGGCTTCCTTATTTTTCATTTCCTTGCAATTTGGCATCTACTTTGCCATGCTATTGAAATTACTTTCTCCAATGACCTAACTGCTAGATCTGATGGCTTTTTCTTGGTCCTTGTCTTTGTTGACCTTTCTGCAACTTTTTAATATTAACTACCATTCTCTCCTGGACATTCTCTTCCCAACTGTCTGATGTGTTCAGAGTCTCCTCTGCCAGATGATCGTCCACTCCTATTGCCCAAGCATGGGTATTCCCCAAAGCTCTGTCCTAGGCCCTCTTCTCCCAAATTTATGTATCCAGCTGTAATCTCTCTCCTGAGCCCAGCTCCCTCCTGGATGTCCCAGGTATATCTCAAACTCAGCTACAGCTCTCTGGCCATCTTTATGCAATGGCTCCTTGCCTGTGCCTTAGCTTTCCAGCTCTGACCCTCAGGTCCTGCTTGCTCTTAAGTGGTCAGTTATCCGTAACTAGCCCGACTCAGACTCTCAACAACCATCCTTAGACCATGCCACTGCCCACATTCCACCCCTTCCCCATCCCTTGGTGCAATAATCAAATCAATACTGCCATTCTTCAAAAGGGTATGTCAATTAACTGTCCAGTGGTTCCGCTCACTATCCCAGTGACTTCCCAGATCAAATCACCCTTCCTTAGCTACTATTCCTTATATGTTGTTTTCTCTTATTAAAATTTAAGCAGTGGTTTTATTTCTTTTTTTAATTGTATCATTCATTCATTTCCAAAATAAGAATCGCTGCCTTTCCCTCTACATCTTCCTTTCTTCCTAATTTCCTTACTTCTGTCAAGGCATCACTGTCCTTCTAGTCACCCAGGTTCACAATCTTGGAATCATCTTTGTTCTTTACCCCTTACAGCCAATTAATTGCCAGTTCTTGTAGATTTTATTTCCATAATATTTCAAATAATTAGCTGATATTTTATCAAAGAATTCTGTGTAATACATAAGGCTGTGGACTAAGTAATTTGTGCCTCCATGTGCCACATTGAGCCACATTTCATAAAATGACTATTTCAGACTCTAGATGCATGGTATGCTCACCTCCACCAAAACAATAAATCATGAGTGCTCCATTCCCATGTTTACCTTTAACAGTCAGCCAGACAACACAATTAGGACAAAGCAAAAACCATTTAATGAAATGACATAAAGTAGCTATATAAAATTTCCCTCAGAAACCTGGAGCACACTGTTCCATAAATGCACACATGAATATGTGGGAAGAACAGACATACATAGTATACGTATGTAGCCAAAGCATATGCATGGAGTATATTATGGAATAAAACCACTTTCTCCCATTTGCAAGATTACTCAAAGATTTTTTTTTTGAAAATTGGCAAAGCCAGGGGACATCACTTCTTTAGGGAGGCTTCTAGTCCTGTTAAAAGATAGAAATGTCTCTCATACACACACACACACACACACACACACACACACACACACACATATTAGTGAACAGAAAAACCAAAAATATTGCATGTAATTACATGTAAATGCATAACACAATACCTGGCACATAGTAGGCAACTAATATTTTTTGATTGATTCACTGACAGACATGTGGAAGGTATCAGGACATGTGTTGGATCCAGACTTTTTTTTCACAATGTCTGAATTCAGGCATCCTGACTGAGGCAAAGGCATGAATTTAAGGATTACCTAATGATCATTCAGATTAGACTGGCTTTAAGAGCTGGACAGCTTCTTGTACATGGGAATAGACAATATGTGGGGGGAAAAAAGAAAGAACAAAGGTAGTAAGTGAGGTATGTGCTTCCTTGCTTCAAGCAATAGGGAATGGACAGTTTCAAAACAGAAGAACTTAAGCCAAGCTGGCTTCTGCAATTGGCCCGTCATGCCTCCAAGCCTTAGAGATCACTGCTGTCTTTTAGTAATGTCATTGCATTGCCCCTGCCTGACTGGGCTGCCCAGTTGTGTAGTCTTCCAATGAGAGCATCATCTTTGCCAAATAGTAGCCATTGCCAGAGACAGCTCTGCTAGCTACACAGATATGGAGCTTGTCTGCTTCTGGTTTAAGGTCTAGTGTAGGCAATCTTTTCTATACCAAAAAACAAACAAATAAACAAACAAAAACCAACCCAGAGACATTTTATAGCATTATTCAAAAAGCAGATGTTCTTGCTTTAGCCTCTGGGTCAGCAGTAGCCTTCCCTGGGGTGGGGAGACTTATCCTTGCTTTTTGCTTTTCCTTTATGAATGGCTCACCTATTCTTTTTTAGAATCTAGGCTTAGAGGGCCTTTCCAACCCCCAAAAGATATCTCTTTGTCCCAGGCAACAAGTACCCAGGGACTCAGAACAGTTTCTCCTAGCTAGCTAATTCCATTAAGCTTAATTTTTGATTTATACTAATTTTTCTGGCCCCTGGGGTTTGAGTTCTCTTGGGCAAACTTATTCCAGGTTGTGGTGAGCTACCTATAAGCCTTAAGATTTTAATATTTAAAGGCTAAGCTATACCCACTTAAGGATTGTCGGCCCATTAATTGACAAGGGGCTCTAAGGTTCCAGGGTCTCCCATTATCTAAACTCTAACCCCTTCTGCTTTCCCAAGCAGTAGAGCAGGGAGAGCAATGTCATCAAGGTAAAGCTAGGTCCATAGGATAAGGTCATTCTTTGTCTTTCCTACAGGCCTAGCCTAGCTTTTTACATCTGGATACAGTTGGCAAATGCTTAAGATAAAGGTTTTCTGCTTACCCTTATGATATTTATTGCTGTTTTTCAAATGTATGTAGTGATTTTTAATATACAATATCATTTAATTTATAGTAACTTTTAATTTATTATTATTTAATTTATATTAGCTTTTTGTTATGTATTTTTTTCGAAAGACAGAATCTACTGTCTTAATAAACTCACTAGTTGGACTGAAAGAAGGCTTGAGTGGTCGAATTCTTTTGAGGCAGACCTCCACCCTGTACTCTTGTATTTCAGGGTTCCCAGGGCCCCTAGAGTGCAACAGGCATATATATGTAAAAGGAGTCATAACCACAAAGGTCCAAAATATGCCAGGATATTCATAGCAGTTTCGTGATAGCAAAAGAACTGGAAACAAAGTAGTGGCCCATCACTTGTGATATAGCTTAAAAAATTACAGAATATCAATGTAATGGAATTGTATCGTATAATAAAAATGATAAATATATTTGAGGAGTTCAGAGAAACAACATCTGCATGAAATTAGAAAGATAAGCAGAACAAATATACAGTAAGCAAAATATATAAAATGGAATTATTACTAAAAAGTCAAATTCTTGAGTATCAAGCAGTCAAGCAACCAATAAACATTTAAGTGTTTACTCTGTGTCAAGGACTGTGCTAACTACTAGAGATACACAAAAAAGACAAAAACCTCAAATGTCCCTTCCCTCAAGGAACTTACATACATTATAATAGGGAAGACAACATGTAAACAAAGAGGTACATGCAAAATACATACTAAGCATAAACCAGATGGCTCAAGTGACAAGGGAGACCAGAAGGCCTCCTGCAGAAAACGGTATTTGAGCTGCGGCTTGAAAGAATTTAGGAATATCAAAAGGCAGATAAGAGAAGTCACAGAGCATTCTGAACATGGGTGACAGCCAATGAACAGGTACGATGTCAGCAGATGGAATGTGTTCAAGGAACAGTAAGTAAATCAGTATCATTTTGTCATGGAGTTTGTGAAGGGAGCTAATGTGTATGAAAACTGGACAAATAGGAAGGGGCTAGTTTGTAAAGAACCTCAAATGCCAAACAGAGGATTTTATATCTTATCCTGGAGACAAGACAGGACCCCTACAGTGTACTGAAGAAGGAGTGATAAGATCAGACTTATGCTTTAGGAAAATCATTGGCAGCTGTCAAGAGGTTGTGAGGAGAAACTTTAAGCAAGAAGACCAATTAGGAGGCTATTATGATAGACCAGGCAAAAGGTGACTCTAAACTAGAGTGATGGCTGTTTGAGTGGAGAGAAGGGGACTGTAAAATTGGAAACTTATTTTAATTCTATTTTTAAGACTTAATCAAGCTGGCATGTATTTAATACTGTCCTAAGGCCATGGAAGTCCAAACTGCATACTTTTGTAACTTCACCACTACAATTCCAAGAAACTTGAGTAAAGGCCAAGCTTTTGTCTTGTAATTACCTCCACTTGGTACTCGATTTTATTGTCATTGAATGTCCACCCTTTTATTGTCTACCTTTGTAATGTCTACCCCAAAAAGGTGAAGATTTCCCCAGTGGAATAGGTGGATAAGAACAACTTCTTCCAAGGCTTTGAAGCCAGCAGAGCTTGGTAGACAAAAAAGACACGAAGGTCATCCACTGTATCCTGGGTCTTTGCCAGTCTTCTGACTTTTGTCTTGCCACTGGACTTCAATGACTCTGGAAAAGAGAGTAAGGCTGATGATTTTGTGAAACTCTACCTCACTTAAATCCAATTCACACTCAAGTTAAGAACTCACCTGTGATGTCATTGGTCTTCTTTAAAAACTAAGGACAAATAACAACAATCTTTGTAACCTCACTCACTACTCATTTAGCCTGAATTCAAGTTGTTTCAACTAAAGCCATTGCAAACACTTAAGTCTGCAAACAACAAATCCTGTCACTTTAGGATTTTTCTCATCTCCCAATAAGGAAGTAATGGGGAAGAACTGAAGTGACTCATAACTCACCTCCTCATTAAAATGTCTACAAATTGGGTTTATCATGATATAATGTCATCAATAGCCAATCAGAAGACATACTTCTGCTGGTCTGTCGTCATACTAATTGTTATAAAAAACCTTGTCAGCCCCGACTCAGGGTCTTTGCACATTGACAGAAGCAACTGAACCAATTTAGTGGTTACTTCTTTTTGTAGTTCAGTCTTTTCCAGCCATGTCCAACTGTTTGTGACCCCATTTGGGGTTTTCTTGAGAAAGATAATAAAGTGATTTCCCATTTCCTTCTCCAGATCATTTTACAGATGAGGATATTGAGGCAAACAGGGTGAAGTGACTTGCCCAGGGTCACACTGCTAGTGTTTGAGGTAAGAGTTGAATTCACAGGGGCAGCTAGGTGGCGCAGTGGATAGAGCACCGGCCTTGAAGTAAGGAGGACCTGAGTTCAAAGCTGACCTCAGACTAAGCACTTGACACTTATTAGCTGTGTGACCCTGGGCAAGTCACTTAACCCCAACTGCCTAAAAATAAAAATAAAGTAAATTAAATTAAATAAAATAAAGATTTGAATTCAGGAAGTCTTCCTTACTCCAGGTGAGGTACTCTATCCACTGTACCACCTAGCTGTCCCTGGTTATACTGCTAGCCTAACTAATCAATTGATCATGCTCAGAACCTCATCTCTTAGTTTATCTTAACTTTCAAATGTAATAGGATTCATGGAAAATGTTGGGGAGGCAAAATCTGGCAATTTATTGGATATGTGAGATGAATGAGAGTAAGGAGGCAGGTTGTAAACCTAGGAAACTAGAAAGATGGTAGTCACCTCTACAGGAAAACAATTAAGTTCACAAGGGGAGGAGACGGGGAGTTTTTTTTTTAATTTTTTAATATTTTTTTCCCCAATTACGTGGACATTTTTAACATTCACTTTCTAGAATTCTGAGTTCCAAATTTTCTCCTTCCCCTGAAGGCAAGCAATTTGATATAGATTATACATGTGCAGTCATGGAAAACATTTCCATATTAGCAAAAGAAAACAGACCCCCCCGCCCCCCAAAAAAGGAAAATAAAGTTAAAAAAAATGGTTCGATATACATTTAGACTCCATCAGTTCTTTCTCTAGAGGCGGATAGCATATTTCATCATAAGTCCTTTGGAATTATTTTGGATCACTGGATTGCTGAGAATAGCTAAGTCATTCACATTTGATCATCGTACAATATTGCTGTTACTACATACAGTGTTCTGGTTCTACTAACTTCACTTTGCATCAGCTCATATAATTTCCCAGGTTTTTCTGAAATCATCCTGCTCGTCATTTCTTATAGCACAATAGTATTCCATCACAATCATATACCACAACTTGTTCAGCCACTCCCCAACTGATGGGGCATCCCCTCAACTTCCAATTCTTTGCCATCACTAAAAGAACTGCTATAAATATTTGTGTACATATAGGTCCTTTTCCTTTCCTTTTTTTTTAAATTTCCTTGGGATACAAACCTGCCTGCTAGTAGGATTGATGGGTCAAAGGGCATAGTTCCAAATTGCTTTCCAGGATGGTTGGAACAGCTCACAACTCCACCAACAGTGTGTAAGTGTCCCAATTTTTCCATATCCCCTCAACATCTATCATTTTCCTTTTCTGTCATATTAGCTAATCTGATAGGTGTGAGATGGTACCTCAGAGCTGTTTTAATTTATAGTGATTTAGAGCACTTTTTATAAGACTATAGATAACTTTGATTTCCGAAAACTTCCTATTAATATCCTTCGACCATTTATCAATTGGGGAATGACTTATATTCTTATAAATTTGACTCAGTTGTCTATATATTTGAGAAATGAGGCCTTTATCAGAGAAATGTTAAAAAAAATTTCCCCCAGTTTTCTGCTTTCCTTGGCTGCATTAATTTTGTTTGTGCAAAACTTTTAATTTGCTATAATCAAAATTATCCATTTTACTTCCTATAATGCTCTCTGTCTTGTTTGGTTATAAATTCTTCCCTTATCCATGGATCTGACAAGATATCACATGCTCTCCTAATTTGCTTATGATATACTCCTTCTAACTGCCCTAATAATGATAAAGTTCTTAGGAATTACAACTATCACCTTCTCATGTAGAAATGTAAACTGTTTGTCCTTCATTCTTTTTTTCTGGGGGCGGGGGGTGAGGCAATCAGGGTTAAGTGACTTGCCCAGGGTCACACAGCTAGTTAAGTGTCATGTGTCTGAGGCCGAATTTGAACTCAGGTCCTCCTGATTCTAAGGCCAGAGCTTTATCCACTGCACCACCTGGCTGCCCCTTAAACTGTTAAACTTTATTGAAATGTTATGATTTCTCTTTCCTATTTACCTTTTTATGCTTGAGTCTTGCATTCAAAAATTAAAATTTCTGTTCAGCTCTGGTCTTTTCATAAGGAATGCTTTAAAGTCCTCTATTTCATTCAATATCCATTTTTTTTTCCCCATGAGGGATTATACTCAGTTTTGATGGGTTGGCTATTCTTGGATGTAATCCTAGCTCTTTTGCCTCTGGAATATCACATTCTAAACTTTCTGATCCTTTAATATAAAAGCTGCTAAATCTTACTTTATCCTGACTGTGGCTCCATGAGATTTGAATTATTTCTCTTTGGCTGTTTGCAATCTTTTTTCCTTGACCTAGGAGTTCTGGAATGTGGCTATAAAATTCCTGGGAGTTTTCATTTTGGGATGTCTTTCAAGAGGTGCTTAGTATATTCTTTTGATTTCTATTTTATCCCCTAGTTATAGAATATGAGGGCAGTTTTCCTTGATAATTTCTTGAAAGATGATGACCAGGCTCTTTTTTTGATCATAGCTTTCAGGCAGTTCAATAATTCTTAAATTATCTCTCCTTGATCTAGTTTTCGAGGTCAGTTATTTTTCCAATGAGATGTTTCACATTTTCTTCTATTTTTTTCATTCTTTTGATTTTGTTTTATTGTTTCTTGATGTCTCATGGAGTCATTAGCTTCCACTTGTCCAATTCTAAGTTATAAGGAATTATTTCCTCCAATAAGGTTTTGTACCTCCTTTTCCATTTGGCCAATTTTACTTTTTTTTTTTTTGGCAAGGCAATCAGGATTAAGTGATTTGCCCATGGTCACATAGCTAGTGTCAGGTGTCTGAAGCCAGATTTGAACTCAGGTTCTCCTAACTCCAGGTCCTGTGCTCTATCCACTGTGCCACCTAGCTGTCCCTTAATTTTGCTTTTTTAAAAGTTATTTTCTTCAGTGAATTTTTGTAACTCTGTTTCCATTTGGCCAATTCTGCTTTTAAAGGAGTTTTTCTCTTCAATGAATTTTTGTGCCTCTTTTACTATTTGGCCATTTCTGCTTTTTAATGTATTTTCCTTTTTTTTTGGTTCCTTCTTTACCAAGGTGTTGACTCTGTTTTCATAATTATCTTGTATCACTTTCATTTTTTCCCCAATTTTTCCTCTACCTCTTTTATTTGACTTTTAAAATTATCTTTGAGCTCTTTCAAGAATTCTTTTTTTCCTTTTCTCTGTCCTGTGACCAATTCACGTTTTTGTTTGAGGCTTTGCATGTAGCTCTCTCGATTTCATCATCTTCTTCTGAGTCTGTATTTTGATCTTCCCTGTGACCCTAGTAACTTTCTATGGTCAGGTTTTGTTGTTTGCTCATTTTCCAGCCTATTTCTTGACTTATAACTTTATGTTAAAGGGTGGAGGGGACACCATCCTAAGCTTCAGGTTTTTCATGCTGCTGTTTTCAGAGCTAGTATGGGGGGGGGCTGTAAGTTTTCAGTTCTTCCAAGGGTGGTATGATCTAAAGAGAGGTGTGGTCACTGTTCTCCTGGCCTATATGATCTGGTCTGTATGTTTTTTCCACCCTGGAACTTTGACTAGGGCCCCTGCACCTCTATAGCCACAGGAGCTACTGAGCTAGTATTTCTCTTTGCCCTGGGACTGTCACCCAGAACTGTGTAGGGGCAATGCAATAGGGTCCTGCACCTGGTGCCAGCAAAGGGTCCACTGTAATCTCCATCTGACCAGTTGTCCAACCCCCTTACCATCTGTGGGTTAAGAGCCCCTGAAGCTGCTACTGTTGTTGCTGATGCAGCTATCTCCAGGCCGACTGCTGGCTTACCAGGGTGCAGCCTGTGTAGCACAGCAGGCCCAGCCACCAACTCAGTGAGACAGATGTTTTCTGTCAACCTCCTAAACTGTCTTGCCCTGGAAAATTGTTTCACCCTGACCTTTTGTTGGTTCTGCCATTGCAGAATTTGGTTTGAGGTAGTTACTTTAACATTGTTCGGAGGGAAATTTGGGAGAGCTCAGATAGTCCCTGCCTTTACTTTGCCATCTATGAGTTCTGTTTTAAACATACTGAGTTTGACATGCTTACAAGGATCCAATTAGGCAGTTGGAAACCCCAGACTGAAGCTCAAGAGAGGGACTAGGGCTAGATATATAGATCTAATAGTCCATCTTAATAGGGATTATAATTGAACCCATGGAAACTGATGACATCACCAAATGAGATACTACACAAAAAAAGAGAAGGCATAGGGAAAACTCTTGAGAAGGATGAAGATCCAGCAAAGGAGATTGGGAAGGAACAGCAAGAAAAGTAGGAAAACTAAAAGAAAACAGTACTCTGAAAACCCCCAGTGGAAAGAAAATCCAGTGGGAGAAGGTGAACAACCATGTCAGAGGCTACAGAA